ATGCAGGTGGGAGACACCATCAACAAATACGGAAGCAGTCGAAAAGAAATCTGTAAGCGCTAGCCTACTTACAGTATCAGTCACTTAGAACACATCCCAATGTCATCTCTAACAACAGTATGATCATTTAAAATATTTGCTATTTCACTGTATTTACACCTTGATGCTTCCCCATTTGACATCCTTTTATTGTCATATAATACAGTAATATAGACAGTAGATATTCAACATTTGATATGCTATTTTTACTAAATTATAAAACCCCAAGTGTTCAGTATTAAAGTAATAAATAAATAAGTAATGAAATCTTCAATAACACGAATACAAGAAATGATTTAAACTCTACTCATTATGATGAAATAACATTAATTTTATTATTATTTCATAATAACAGATTTATAAGAGTTCATTTTGACTTCATATTATCTTAAAATTCCCTTTTCCAAACATTTTTGTTTTCATGTTGACATTCTTCCCAATAGCATGTTTATTTCATGACACGATTTATTTCATGCAGTCACCTTTCATGCACTCCCACCATTCAGCCAATCACATGTCCCTATCTCTCATACAGTCAGTGTCACGAAGAGTGAGTGTATGAAATAAATTATGAGTACCTCAGGAAAATAATTATGCTAAAATCCAGTTATTATGAAAATAAATGCTGAAATAACATTTTATAATAATGAGGTTTAATAAACAAGAGAACATGAACTGCTACTGTGTTATCATCCATTACTGTACACCCACTTTACCACTGTAAAACCAGAAGCATAAGTCTTAAACATGCTTTTGGCCAGTTGTTCTGTTGAAGGCAGAAACTAATGGATGCTTTAAATCTAAGCAGCCAGTAGCTTCAGCTTCAAAGAGAGTTTTATTCAGAGAGCATTAAAGCCTGACAGAGCCTGAGAGTGGGTGTCTCACTCAAAAAGCGTGAGAGCTGGTAATCCTTATTTAATGAATGGGAAAAATGTTGGAAATCCAATTAACTGGCAGTAGAACCATGTCTCAAATGGCATATAAGGTCTGAACATTTAAGCAAAATGAAGTGGTTGTTATTACTCAGACAATGACAGCAGTATTTATTCATCCTAGAGCGCCTCAGTTCAGCCACACACAGACTGTGTGGAGACCTGCCTTAACTCGGCCAGGGCCCTGTCAATGTTATAGGCCATTTCCACCGTAGGGGAACTTGCTGACCCTTAACTGAACTTGTACCCCTCCAGTCCACTCTGGAGGTGAGTCATTTTATAAATATAAATTCTACAAGTACAGTAAATTTTGGCAGCCCTCAGGAGATAATGCTAAAATAACTTCCAAGTACTCAAGGGGGGCCAGGGTGTTTGCTTTGGTGTGTAAAAATGCACTCATACATCGGTTCAGAGGTAAAAACAGACTTGGTGGGTGGACCATGGGTAAAGTGGTGCAGACATCACATTTCTGCCAGCTTGTGTTCTGCTTGTTCAACAGCTGATTGATAAACTGCTCATACAGTTTCCATTACTGGCTGATTGTTTGTACTACTGTGGCTATTACTGTTTTAGGATTTTTAGCAGCTGATATGTTCAGTTTGTAACAACTCTTTAGAAAGTATTACCCTGACGTATTATAACCCAACATGAAGTCTTGCCACAATATTTCTCAAATCTGTCTCTCCTGTTACTCACCTGGCAGAAAATGAGCATGTTCCAGATTTTACAGCCTTTCCTGTAAGCTGTCAGCTTCTTCTCAATCTCCTCTGTGTGAGAGACAGTTGAGAGAGGGAGAGGTGTCACTTTCCCACTCAGCCATAATGGTGAGGCATATAAATTGGCTGTCCCTTCTGACACACACACACACACACACACACACACACACACACACACACAATAAGTATACGTATAAAAAACAATGAGTCATCTTTGCACTCCAGCAAGCTCAAACTTATTCCACCCTCATCTTTTCCACATTTACACTTGAAGAGTAGTTTTCACTTGAATTAACATTAAGGGGAAAAAAAAGACACCATACTCACCAAGGATGTCATCAAATGTGGCATGTTCATGGTCCTTTAAATGATAAAATAAAGCAGAATATTTGTTTCATTAAACCCTGCTGAGCACAAATTGATTTAACAAGGAACAACCTGCCGATTTCCTAAACAGAACATTACTTCACTCCCTTACAACATCAGTATAATAAATTTAATTTCACAAATCGTTAACATTTCATCTCTATCCTCTAAAATGGTGATTTCCAACGTAAGTCTGAGAGGGTATAAGGTGATTAACAGGAACAGTTTGTGTATTTCTTCAGAAATTCCTCAAAACTGTCCTTTTTTATTTATGAATTAATGAACAATTTTACATTTTCAGGATCAAAATATTGGTTGACAAAATCCATAAACATATTCAAATATATCAGTCAAATCAAAGATATCCACAACAATGTTAAGATGCAGATGAACAGTCAATATATTTACAGTGTTCGTGCTTAGGAGAACACAATGTTTGTGTTTTCATCCACAACACTTTATTTGAATGCGAAGATTGAGTTGCTGCATGTTTGTATTTATCTACCCATCCATCCATCAGCCTGCCTATCTGTCTATTTCTCTACAGTATGTTAGTATGTTAATATTCATGAATTAGTTTTAACCACAAAGTACAGCTTAGGCTCAGAATGTTACTAGCTTTGCAGGTATTTGGACATACAACCAGTTTATGTGACAAATTAAGGTGCTAACTCAGTGCATAAGTGAAGACCTGTTGGTCAGTCAGTAAAAATCAGCAGGGTTCATCCTCTGGGGACCAAGCTTCATGGCAGTCCATCCAGTGGTTCTGGAGACATTTCAGACTGAACTAAAGTGGTGAACCGAGACCATATCAGACCAACGCTGCCATATTCAGCATGATCACAAAGGGTGGGAAACCCTGCCTTAGAGCTTATATTGTATTACATACAGCTGGGTACATCAGTACAAGCTTGTATGTTTTAATTAGACTACCCCAATAAATAAAGTTTGAAAGAAAAAATATTACAAAGAATTTGGAAATGAAACAATGGATTTGTGTACATCAAGTGTCCCCAGCACAAGCGACTGGATTTTGGCAATGCTTGAAAGGACATTGCATCTCACCTCAACCTTTTAATGTTTTGTTCTCTTTCCTGGAGAAAAATACCAGCTGGGACACAACAAAAGATTGCTTTTATATCTTATTTTGAGCAGACCAACAAGAGGGTGCCACTTAACAGAACTGGCTACATAGCAGGGACAGACTGAATGAAGTCGGTACGCTGCTCCACCAAATCCTGTGGCTTCTCCTTTAGTAACGGCAGACAGCACTTTGTCAACAAACACAAACTGAGAGCACAGCTCACTGTGCAGTCTTTTGTTCCTCTCGCAGCACTGACTGTTAAATTCACTCTGAGCCAGCCGGAGCGAGCTATAGCCACCTGGAGTCTAAGTAAATTGCTAAATATATAAAAACTGCAAACCTAAATACAGTAATGGTGTAAAGCTGTCGATTGTTGCTACTCACATAAAGAATGGGGATGATGGAGGGGTCATCCCTGCGGATGATGTTGGGGACATATTCAGCCTTAGGGACCTTGGAGGATATCAGCTGTGGAAATTAGGACATGCAGAGAAATTGCAGTACCTCTGGGTGCATAGGCATGGAAAACCCAAGTCGATTTTTAAAGTTGATTGCAAGGATCCTCACCATGATTTTCGGTGGGATGAAGTCCTCTCCTTCACAGGCCACTCTCTCCATCTCCCTCTCCTCCTCCCACTCTGCATCCTCATCCAGCCCTTCATCTAACGTCCCTGAGGAGGTCTGAAGCTCACCACCTGGCTCACACACAGGAACAAAAAGTGAGATGAAAGGATAGCACACAGACAAGATTACAGAGGAGAAGGCTCCTCTTAAAAGTGTTGCACCTGCTATTTTATTTTTCCGGCATGGAGACGAGGAATAGAGGATTTAAAATCAGACAACACAAAATGACACAGAATCAGTCCCCTTATGCACTCAGCCAGATACAGACAGCTACAACACAAAGACAGAGGCAGATGGGACAACAGGTTGAAAGCTGAGGACGGCTGTGTGGAGGGATGGCAACGGCCAAGAACCCAGAGTAGGAGTACACACAGGCAGCAAATACAGCAAGTGCATGGCTACGAGAGGAGTGTATGTATGTGTCAGAGTGCCTCTGTGTTTTATATCTTTGTGTGTTTGTTGCCTTTTATGTGTCTTTGAGCACAATCATATGTTGTGTGTCTGTGTGCAGCAAGTAGTTATATATTCTCTCAAATGCAAAAAGGTATGTGTGTTTTTATGTCCATTTTAGCATTAGATGTTTGTTGTGTCGTCTCTATAGTAATGCATTCTACTGTGTTTATGTCTGAAGAAAAAGCATGCATGTACAGTATGTGTGCATGTATGTGCTAAGCTGATCAAGTGTCTGTTTTTGCTCAGGTCTGTGAGGGATCAAGAAGGTGTCAACTCACTGTCTCTGGAGTCATGCAGTGATTCAGGCTTGACAGGGGTGGGGTCACTCCACGAGCGACTGAAGCTCTTGGTTTGGCGGTCGGTGAAGGCTGATGGGGTTGGGGGGGAAGACAGTCACTCACACACGGACCTACTGTAAGAGTTTGTTTTTAGAAAACCCTAACCTGGTGGAATCTTAAGCAGATTCATCTGAGTCTCCTCTGTTAATACCATAAGAGCTTCCCCAGACAGTAACTTACCAGTCTAACTGTATTTTGTGAGGCTAGTATTGTTTCCATAGTTTTTCTAGGGTTAACCCAAGCACTCATTTTATTTTCCTGCTCACAAATGAGAAAAAAAGTATAATTTTGAATTGAGAGGAACTGTCAGACAAACATATAATGCATCAAAATGGTGGAATATACTGTAAAGAGGACAATTGCTCCTCATATTTTACTCCAAATCAAACCAGAGATGTCAGATACACCAAACAAACAAATGCAGTGCATAGCATTTGAACTTTTCTGTACACAGTCGATAAGATAAAGATTCTTTTTCTAAAGCAAATGTGACTAACATAAATACTGTAACATTCTGTGCACATAAACTGCTCTAAACACTTGAACCAAATGACAATCAACAAGGATGTTAAGGAAGAAGGTTCTGATGACAGGTGTGATTCATAAACATAGTGTCACACAACATTCCTATAAACATGCACAGTACTGTCACTCCATGCATGAAGCACAAATACATTCTCATGAACCTAAGTTCCAATGTTATGATAGTCCACGCTGTAAAGCATGAATGCATGGAAACGTTCTGAGGTCAGCACACATATGTACATGCACATAGATATGGTGAAAGACTTACTTTGGGCCTTCATCCTGCGGCTGCCCACCATTCTGAGGTGTTTGCGGAAATTTCTTGAATTTTAGGGAACAGAAGGAGACAGAAACATCAAAACTGAGGAAGCGCCAGCGATTAAACATGTCAGACTTACAGACACAGATGAACAGAAAACACAAACAGAAGACAATTCTGAATCATAACCAGAGATGTCAGGCAGATCACTACTTAAATCTGCACTAACTAATATTTAGCACAAATGCTAAATCAAATAAAAAAGAGTCTAGAAGTGTTTTCTCTCTGTTGAACCAACAACCCCCTCCTATCTCAGAGTGCAGTCTTCAAGTCTTGTGTTTATATCTTGTGTTTATATCTTGCTCTCTGTGGCTACTCCGTGCCTCACTCCTCTACACCCCCACTGATCTGAGGTTACAAGATGCATTGTTCACACCAGTATGGCTCATTTCAAAGATGGACTGTGGAGGCTCCCAGTGCAAGTACAACCCTGGATAGGAGCGGACCTGTTAGACCCAAGAGGCCGTGTTCTGTAGCACAGAAAGAATGTGACAAAGAACAAGATGCATAAGTACTGTAGCTGGCTAGCATGTATATGTCAGCATCATTAGCAAGCTAACATTAGCTTTTCAGTTTTGGACCTTTGTACTGAATTATTCTGGCTGTAATTTGAAGTCATTCCAACTGACTGCAGTGTTAAGTGTTTTGTTGTCCAACTAGCAGAAACCAGCCAATTTGCTGAATTAGCAAATTAAGTCATTTTGCTAATTTTCCCTGGGTTTTGGCCCAGTTTATCTTGGACATAACACTGCAGTCCATGTAGCATTTTAGTGAGAAGTTGTTAAAATGTACGCCATCAACACAACTAGAAAAGTGGGGAGTTTGTTCAACTATCAAAGCACAACATGAAATTTCTCTAGTTTCACATACAGCTCACAGATATGTGTGTCAAGTAACACTGAATGTGATGCAATAGTGACCTGAACATTAGTACTATGTCAATATTACTGGGAAAGAAAACATTCCTCTGTATAATTTGCTTGTGTTACTGCAGATACATCCCCTAGAAACAACAACAGACATACTGTATGTAGACATATCGCTAAAATGTAAACCTCCTTATTTAACATTATGTTGCTGCAGTGCCACCAAAAGCACAGGCTCTTTGAGCTCTGTATTCCAAATCCATTAGTTCTGGAGCCGGTTACTACTGTGCTACCTGGCACAGCTGACTCCAGCTGTCGTGATCACATATGACCTAGTTTCAGAGACAAGGCAGGGGGGACAAGGAGGAGCCAAGGGACATGAAGAGGAGAAAATTCTCCTGGAGTTTGTTTTGACTCCCACTTCACCTTTAACAGTGGAAAATTAGAGGGAGACGTTAGTTAATGCAGCTTTATGTAAAGGACTCCTTTCTTGTTTTGGATATTGTGGCCACTGGTCAAAATATCCACAAATGACCAGACATATGACAAGCAAACAGTTACCAAAACCACCTCAGTGGAAACTCTACATGCACATTATGTGCACAGGAATTATGTTTTGGTCTGATGTGATGTTTGTTTAGTGGCCACATGGAGTATTGCATTTTTACATACACACTCTGTAATGGAAGCTTTATGTAAAATTGTCACCAACAAATGTTAGCCATGCTACTAACATAACCTCCTCTACCTTAGCACCAATTCTGCCACCAGTGTGTCTGCACTGATAGATTAAAAACATAGTATAATATCCAGTAATAACAAAATTACATAATGTGTTATTATGGTGCATAACTGTGGACCAAAGTAAGTTTAACAGAAGAAACCTCTGACACTGCTATTCACTGTCAAATCTGGGCCATAGTTAACACACCATAATGACACGCCATGCACTGTCATTAGTACTGCATATTAAACTGAATTTATTTATTTTATAAATGGCATTGTATGGCTTATAATTTGTACCACCAGAAAAAGGAGGACAAGGACAGACTAAGAAAAGAGACAGAATGAAAGGTGAGGGAAAAGAATAGAAAAATAAGTGTAGCGAGTAGAGTAGAAGCCTAAAACAGCTTTTTATTATTCATCAAGTCTTGTCTGATTATGAGGGTCCAGTGTAGTCCAAGTAAACAAGGCCTTGCACTCACTTAAAGCAACGTAAAAAAAAAATAAAATAAAAAACAGTTTGCAACTGATCCGTCTAACTGTGCCCTTACCATCCCTGATACTGATCTTTAGAATCGACTTAATATCACTAGGTGTAGAAGACACTTTTCCTTATTAATAATATATACTGGACCTCGTGTTTGTGTGGGGACTGTGGGGACTTGGCCATCCTTGTGGGGACACAAGTTTTGTGCTTTTAATTTTAATTTATTGAAAGTATGTCATCTTTGTGTCTGTGTTATTGTGCTGTTTTATTTTAAATTCTTTTTCCACTGCTCTTATTTATTCTATTTTAGTCATTTATTATGATTTTATTCTGCCATGTAAAGTACTTTGGTCAGCTAGATGTTGTTTTTAAAGTGCTATATAAATAGATTTGATTTGATTTGATTTGACCAGAGACTGGTCCCCACAAGGAAAGCACTGAATTTTAGGGTGGCAACATGGTTTAAGGTTAGGGTGAGGGTCAGGGTTTGGGTTAGGCGAGTAGTAGTTATGGTTAGGGTTAGGATAGGTCTATGGGAAATGAATGTAAGCCAATGTAAAGTCCCCACAAGAAATGAAAACACTGCGTGTGTGTGTGTTTTGTCAGATTTCTGACCAGGAGCTCTGATTTCACTTAAACATGGGTTCTTGTGTCTACAGTACAAATTAATGAAGCTCTGTGATAAACTAAAAAAAAAAATGTGCTAAAGTCCCTGACAGCTGATATAACTTGTCCAAAATCTCACAGCTCATTAGTTTTAACAAGCCCCACCTCTGTAGTCAGTCATTGTTAACTTATCCCATCCTGTCACTGTTAAGCATACCACTTCATTGCACGCTGGTTAATAAAAAGTCAGTTTCAACCTATTATATTAGTGTACTTGTTACAAAACAGTAGCAAGGTTCATAAGAGTCTCCGAGTAAATGTAAAGCACACACCCATCCATCTGCGTGTTTTTTGTTGGAAGCTATTTTGTATCCATAGTGCAGTTTGAAGGAATTCCAAGCAACACTGTTGACATGTCAGTATTGACTGCAGGAGTCGTGAAGGCAGAGCCTAAAATAGACGGATGACTCAGAGAAGAGCAGGATCCATCAGCCAGCCAGCAGTGTATTTTCATACTGAGTGACAAAACCTTTTAAAATCACTAACACCCATGCACCAAGACATACCCAATCAAATTCATGTTGGCAGTATGCATAAATATCACAACTACCTCAACAAACACTTTAAATCCAGCTATGACCCTTCCAAATGCTTTGCAAAATCATCTTGGTTGTTTAAATATGCATAATTTTATACATAAAACTAACTATTTTTCTATGAAAACTGTTGCATTCTGAAAGTTCATGACACAGTCCAATACGTGCACATGAAAAATAAATCTCCTGCATTGTCTGAAGAACTTGCAAACACACGCACACTCCCAGAGGTTCAAACAACAAATGGCTTCTTATTCACTGGTGAATGTAAGCCAGCCACAGGGCAATGAGATATGACCCTGGCTTTTACACATTAGTGTTCAGTGAGCAACACTGATTAAATCTGCCACCCACACAGTGTGCAGGATTCACGACATGTGCACACACACCATGTGACACTGTCACCATGTTTGTGATGGCCCTTTAACCGCAGTTGAGGACAGGAGTGTAAGAAATGTTTTGTTTCCTGCGTACAAGCATGATGCGTTGTGTGTATGACTATTTGTGTCACACACACAACGCATCAAACAGTTTGAACACCAAAATAACAGTAGAGAGAAGGTCTACATTAGTGAGTCATTATGTTTTGGGGTATAATAATAGTGATGGTACATTAATGAAAAGAAATTTGTCCCAAAGCATTTTACTAAACTTTGATGGAGAAATAAGTTTCAGAGCATTGGTTAAAACACCATAAAGTTATCTTCACATGTTATTATTACTAACTAGCTTGGTTCTATATTTACACAAGTAGCATTCTAATGTTACTGCTGAGCACTTTGAGAACATACACAGCTGTGGAAAGATCTACTCTATCCAGTGACAGCAGGGTGAGAGCCTGATGGCAGAGATTTTGAGCCAAGCTCAGAGCTGTTAACATTCTTATCTGTAGGGCTGGTATTGTGCTATATTATTACATTTTCATGGTCAAACATTGGAATATTGCTTTTATGTCATTATGGGGAAACGGACCTGCCCCTTGATGGAGACTGCTGTTCAGTTTGAAAGAAGTTTACTTACTGTGTGCAACACAAGAGTCAAATAAATGTGCTCATTAGTGTGGGTTTTAATATCAGTATCTTATGCCAAATGATTATGGTCTATTACCAAAAGTCCTTGTCTCCAACTTCCAAGTCCAAATGCAGTCAGTGCTTAAGTCGAGTCACAAGTCCTGAAAATCAGGTCTGACTGCGTTTGGACTTGGAAGTGTGTGTCCTGAACTCAAGTACTACAACGCTACATGAGGCTGCTCAGTTGTCATCATGTCATCCAGTAAGTGGAAGATGTGGTTGACAACTCTGGAAAAAAGCTAGTAAGTGGACTTACAATTATTTTGACCTGTGGTCAGTGAGTTGGACTTTCAGCTCAGCTGATGCATAGTATGTGTTGAAAGTTAATGTTTATTATTAATATTAGTGGTGATTATTATCATTAGTAGTAGGGTTACAGTATATTGTGTTTGTGAGTTTGCCTGTTTGAATGTGGTTTTTCTGTGTGTTACTCAAATTCAACTCAAATGTGGCATTTACCGCAAATGGAGGAATCATGAGCTGCTGGAATGTTTTTAGTCTGAAACATTTTATGCTCAAAGTTTTGACTTTCACTAACAGTAGCTTAGCAGGGACTGAACAAAAAAGGAACAGCAGAACATCTGGTTCTCTCTGCCACTAAAGTGCTGTAAATAAAGTATAGAGATAAGGCTATAAATAAGGTTCTCCGTTAGGAAAAGATATTTTAAGATCTGACATGAAATTGATAATGAGACTTGTTAAAGAGAGGACTTCTTGGTTGAGTAATAAGGGGAAGGGAACAGGGATGGTTCTGCAGAACACAGGACAGGACAGGACAGCCAGGACATGGTACCTCTCCATCACGGTGGCTGCCTCCTGCTCTCTTTTCCGTCTCTTTCTCTCAGCAATGCCTCGAAAAGCCCTGCCGGGACGTCAAAGCATTAAGTGGTTTTGTGGGGAAATAACGATTTATGTTTTACCTACACCTGATTTTTGTCTGAACCCAAACTGACCCAAGGGGTAAATAACCTTTAGAGGATGTACCATTTCACTCAGAAATCATTTATACTACATTGCTAATACTTTTTCTACAGTTTTTTTTAAACGAGGCCTGACATAAATGCTGCAACACTGAGAGAAATTGACCAGATTTACAATAAGCCCTCTGGGTCTAGTTGGGTTCGGGCATGAATATAAAGTTCCAGGGTGGGATGGGGCAACAGTAAAGGGGTTCGAGGTGAGGGTTTTCAAGTCCATAAGGGTTAGTGAGGGTTTGGATAGCTTTGCTGAGTAGTTAGATTAGCAACACAGGGACAATTTATTCACCAGAGGCAGAGAACATTGTGCATATTTTCATGTAATACACACACACGGACAGCAATGCAAGATAGTGGTGGTCTACAAGCAGAGACACTGAGGCGTAACCAAGAAACTGCCCATCCTGCTTATCCAGTGTGAGTTCCCTGTAACATCACCAGCCAAATGATTCCCAGTACATTAACTGTTATCTTTAAGTCTTTCATATAATTTCAATTAGAAATGAACATTGAGGCATATTTTGTGCATGTCTTGATGTCCATCGTTTGCCATTCTTCCAGAGTGCAAGTTGGTCAGCATGAATGTGCCTTTCCCACAGGGAACAATAATGGCTCTGACAGGATGTCAGGCATAATCAGAATCATCTGTGACAGTGTATGCCAGAAAAGAAGTCGTGTCTTGTCTAGCTTTGACAGACGAACAGACAGACAGCTGATGAGCTCTGGGACACCAAACAATGGACTGAAGCCACTGGAGTCTATCCAGTCCATATTATGGAAAAGCCTTCTGTGCCAGTCTATTACCGCTACACCATTTTTACTCTCATGAACTCTGTCACTTTCTGTTCCCTCTGCCTGAAAAAGATGAACGTGATGGAAGCAACTCTTCCTTCAGCCTGTCACTCCTTCTACCATCTGCCATCACCAGAAACTCTGAAAGCCGAGAGCCCTCTTCTTCTTTTGTGCCAAACAGCAATCCGGCAGATTTCCAGCCAAATTCAAACAAGTGGTTAAAAAAAATTACAGTGAAACCTTTTGGCAGTGTGCTCTCTAACTGGCATTTAGAGCCAAGAGCAACAAGTTGTACAGTACGTCTTGATGTTCTACCGTAGTGTTAGAGCTGAAAATGCACAGTAAAATATGCAGTTGTGATTTTTGCTGACCAATTTTGCAATTGTGATTTAAATTTCATTTGCACTGATATGTATAAATTAATCTCTGGGCCTATTTGGTGGCCTATATCACATTAAACCCAGCTAAGTTGTGTTGACACTTTGCTGACTGTACATATAAAAGATAAAATACAAATAAAATAAAATGGTTAATATTGAGGTCCTTAGTTAGTTTTCAATAAAAAGCATAGAAAATTACCAGTTATGTGCACACTTCACTAATATATTACAGCATATATAACATTATTCAAAACTTTATGGAAATAATTATGACCAGCTTCATATTTGCTACATAGTTATTAGCAAAAGCCCACTTATGGTTAAATTGGAAACTGCTATTAAGTATTTTATCACGCTATAAAAATTCTAATACCTGACTAATAACTCCTAACTAATGGTACTGTTAAGAGTTTGGTTCTGTAGCTGCTTGAGCTGACGTTAGCTTTACATACAGTATTAACAGATCAAGTTGCCACTAACCAGAAAATGTGCAATAAACAAGACTGTCTATGTAGAGACCACTGGCCACTCTCGCTCTTTCTAAACCTCACAACCGCACAGTGCATTTTCTGCTTTTACAAGAATTTAAAGGATTCAGAGCATTGCTTCTTCTTTCTTGAGGAAACCATTGTTGGCTCTGCGTATACAGATTCTGGCATGCAGAAAACTTATTAACCAGACTAAAACCAAACCAGTCCTTCAGAAAATTAATGTTTATTAGCTCAAGCTGTTTGCTGGTAACAGTTGACATATTGGCTCTTGAAAGTTGCATCTATTCAAACTGTAATTTAGATTTTAAAATGATTAAACATATTTAGTGAAATCCAAATCTTATTTTTTTCTTTATTACATTAGATTGCCCTCTTTTATAACACTAAATTTAGCAGCACTGATGGTAATGAATACATGCTGTTACCTCCTAATTATTAGCTTGATCTGTGTCTATCTTTAGATTTAACTACAATGTCTTTGCTTGAAGCAAGCCTTTATACCAAGATGCTTTTTATGATAGTTGCAAAAGCTGTATTAACACATTAAGTGTGTAATAAGTCATCACTGTTGCATTGTGTTGGTGTGTAATATGAAAAACAACTTTAAGTTAGTGACTCACTATTCAGAAAAGGTACCTCAGTATTTCTATTCTTGGTGATCTGGTTATCTTGTGAATGTAAAATATTCCTGCGGAATCTGTGAATTCAGTATTGCTGATTCTCATTTCATTTCTACTGTACAGCACTTTTCCTGCACTCCAGCAGACTGCTGACTTATTGTGAAACTTCAAACACCCAGTCCAGCAGGTATTGAGAGTGAGAAGGTTAAAGACACAGCAGAGTGGATAGCACAAACATGAAAATAAATAAATAAATAACGGTTCAAGACATGTTACCTAACTGACAGACTGAGAAAAAGAAAGAGTGGCGAGGATGGTTGAAGGAGTTACTCACGATATTCTACAGCCGTGATTTGGAAAGCCACCACGCAGAGAGGAGAGGACGAAGAGAAGACAAAATGAAAAAGAAGTTAGCAACAGTAGCAAATACTCCATCAATATTTCAGAAGCTGCTTTGTGCTGTGGTTCTCACTTGGATCTAGTTAATACAACAAGCAAAAAACCTCACCTTGAGTGGAAAAGTCCTGACTATACAGTAAACTCAAAGTATCAGTAAGCAAGAACAGTAGTCTAATTGGGACATGCATATTAATATCAGTGGAATTAAGGACTGCACATAGAGAAATGGTTAGAGTAATTGTAAAGTTCATGTGTAATCAATCAAACTGCAACAAGCCCATCACGTTAGAGATGAAAGACAGTGACTGGCCAGTAATTTTATTTTACTGTAATGCCAGTCTCAGAATTGTACATCATCCTGACCCTATTAGGGGCATGGGCAGATGGAAACAGATGGAAAATGGTGGAAAGCAGCTGACATATGGACAGAAAAGAGGGAGCGTGGGAGAGATGAGGGGAAAGATGCTGGTGGGTGAGCTTTGTCTGTTTCAGGACCATAATTATAAGATCTGGTTGACAGGTAATAATTAACTACACAAAAGTAGTGGAAGGCACTTGTGTGTGTGCTGGTGTGAGAGATGCCCACTCAAACTCCACATAAACAGACTTTCAACTTGACTCGCAGATCCTCCCTAATTGACTCTAGACATGATTTTGAGATCTTTCAAATATTGGTAAGGCATTGAACATTTCTGTAGAAGGAAAGTGTGGGTTTTTCAAACAAAACACACACAACAAGCTACACTGGGTGTATCATGGTGTGGAATCGATACCAAATGTAGCCAGAAAAAGTGCCTCCTATTAAGATGGTGAGAAAATGATAGAAGACACTGGTTTGAGCATGTCCGACATCATGAGGCACTTGAAAATGAATTAGCCCAGACTTAGTGTGACATTACATTAATGTCACTGCTAATTTTGTCATGTCAGGAGTCTTGGCTCATATTGGGCTCCTTATTTGTGTAACCCCACATACAGTAATTGTTCAGGAAAACATGTTGACCTTTAACTGCAGTCTGTCGGTGTTGATCGACACAGAATTCTTGCTCACAGTGCACCAATTCACAACAACAATCATGATCATGATGACTGTATTGTGTCATACTGCTACAAAAAGCTATGAAACACATTTAAAAGTGTTGTACTCTGTCTCCAGTTTGCCTTAGTACTGTGTTTAGATTCAGTTTCCCTATTTATCTGCAGGTTCACACAATTTAACAAGGAAAAGATGTCTGTCGAACACAATGTTAACCCACTATAACTTGTTATTATAGACCGGATACAATTCAAAAGGGGAAAATGCTTGAACTAGACATATTATGTTGGAAACATTAGAGACTAGAGACTTGACTCAGACTTCTACCCCAGAGACTTCAGACTGGACTCAGACTTGCACTTTGCAGTTTATGAAAATCTCTTGTTGGTGTAAATAATTATATTGTGGTTGGTCAGTGTGAACATGCACAAAACAGTAACAAATGCATTACACTAAATCTGAAGAATTTACCTGTTTATTTGTCCAAAGCCTGCCATCAGACACTTTGGACTTTGAGTGCTTCCAAATCACAGGTGACCTACTCTCACTGTGGTCCCTGAATGCCTCATGGAGCACCATTACTCTGCTCACCTGATCTTAAGTGGACACAATGTTAGCACTGTTTAGCATGATGATAGTGTATTTTGAAATACCCTACTTCAAATTGATTGAAGTGTTGTAACCTATGCAACAAAGTTCATTGTATTTCCAGTGCAACATTAATTCCTGCACCTAAAGCCTTAAATAAATATGGTTTGACAGCCACTTAAACTAAGCTATCTTGGCTGAATTACTACAGCTACTGCTTCCTTTAACTATTACTACGGCAGTTTGGTTGAGATCAGCAGACACAAGTCTTGGAAGCAAACCTTTTATTTCAGTTAAAAAGGGAAGTGGTGGAAGAAGTACTGAAACTTTTACTTAAGTAAATGTAGCAATACCATTGTGTAAAATACTCAAGTTACAAGTAGCCCTGCAATTAAGATGTTTCTTAAGTAAAAGTACAAAAATATTAACATAAAAATATACCTGAAATAGCAAAAGAAATGCAGAATGACACATTGCACATTGTGTATCATATTATTGGATTGATGCGTTGTGGTGTACATCACATCTAATGCTGCAGCTGGTAAAGGTTGAGTTCATGTTAAAGACCTTATATGCTCATAATTTTAATTACTGCTGAGTAGCTTGTGAATTTCCCACCGGGAGTCCTGCACTGGGTTGGGTACCTGCAAAAAGGTATGTGTAACAGGTAAAAGAATATGTTTATATTAAATCAAGGTAGCTGCTGAACTTCATCTCCATGGTCTCTGAAAAGGATACCTCATACACCAGTAAAGGTCACTGAAGGTAAAATGCTATGCTGATAAATCCATGTCTTGAATTCAAAATTAAAAGTAGTTTTTCATTTGAAAAACTTTCATTTTTCTTTTTTGTTCTTTTTAATTTGGGGTAGGATATTCCTCCATGAACATATAGCACCTCCATAATAAAAAAAAAAAATGAATGCGAGAATGCTGTTTGAAATGGACAGCTTCAATGTGACAATAAAATTACATTTTGCATTTGATTTTTAATTGTGTTAATTGTACAATAAAATTTTTGAAAGTCAGCCGTTACGGTTTTTAACAAAATGACCATGAGAAGAGCAGTAACCATGTAACTGTCATTATCAATGTACTAAAATTGCACTTAAGTTTGCAATTTTGATTCCAAGGAAGGTTGAAATTTTTTCTGACAATTTAAATGAAAGAAGTCAGCTTAAATATATTGTCTTTATCATTGCTGCAATGCAATCCTTACAAATGTGCTGAAAATTAACTGTTATTGTGGTTTTCATTTGACTATTTATTAATTTTCAAACATGAAAATGAACATTTTATTTTAACTGTTTATCTGATTTATTTTGTAATACATTATACTAACCCAAAAGGTAAACAAAATTTCACTTTGCTTAAAAAATATACTTATATTGGCAGCAATGACTTGCATACAGATCAGTGAGGTGACAATGGGCAATTACTAGCTGATGCTAATAAAAGTTGTACTGGCTTCATATTTTGGTGAAATCAACAAAAGAGAAATGTGTGAAAGCTGATTAGGATTTTGTAGTAGAACATTGCATTTGAGCCATTAGTCTTGGAAGGACAAGGCTGGGCCATATCCTGCCAACACAGTGATGTACAGAGTGGGAGTGAAGCCAGAGCTCTATGCCATACTCACGCCTGCATGGTGGTGGTGGCTGTGTGAAAGCTGAACATATTCTCTTTGGGGAACCAACTATTAGGATTGCCCTCTGCAAACAGAAAACAAAAGGAAGGCGTGGTATCAGTGAGTAGAACATTCAAATATAGGCCTTACAATCAGCAGAGCAGGCTAATGAATGTGCACAGAGTGTGAGGTGAAGCATCTGAGGGTGAATGGGGTTTTAATGGTTTGCTGTTTTATTCACTTAAGAGTTAGGTTGCATACATACAGTATTTACTCTACAGATTATAATGTAGGTGAACACATGAACCACAAAGCTGCTGAAATGAGATGTATATAATCACCATTCCTTTCCCACTTCCATCTCAATTTAAACCCCTCCCCATCTTCTCATGTATGTTTCTTTACCCCTGTCATCAGCAGAGGCTCTGTCCTCGCTGTACATCCTCTCCAGTTTCTTGCGATGCTTTCCTCCATCCCGTGGTGAGGTATCCAGGTCAAGGGAACGCTGGCTTTGACACGGAGCCCGAATGCAGGTCACGCAGTCTGGAGTGTAGTCGTCCCGTGACCCCCCTCTCCTTATCCCCCACTCCCGGAAGTTATTGGTGCTCCCCGAGTTTTGTAGCGGCTGCGATGATGGCGGGCCTCCGTGGTGCTGGTGGGCATGGTGATGGTTGCTGCGATGATGGCTACTATGATGATGGCTGCTGTGTGCACCTGTGATGGACTGTTGAATACTGCAGGATGGGTTGTGGTCGGCACTGGCTGGGGCCTGGGAAATGGGCTGCTCCCTGGATCCCTTCAGCACCTCCAGTTCCAGGCTTTCGTTGCTGCTCTGGCCCCCCAGGGTCATCCCTCCCTCCCTGGTGATTGTGTACACTCTGGCTGGCTTTGCTGCCACACCCCCCTCTGGGCCTCTGGCACCTTGTGGATCCTCTACAGAGAGGCTGTGCTCAACAGAGAGTCTACGTTTGGATGGGCCCAAAGGTGCTGGAGCCTGGATGGTGTTGACCAGAGGCTGAGACTGTGAATGAACACTGGAATTAGACTGGCTGGACTGGTTGGGTTTATCTACAGGCAAACCACAGCGCTGTGGTGGCTGATTGTTGCTATGCAAGCGGCTGACGTCTGGAGGGTCGCAGTCCTGGCCAGGGAAGGTGTCAGACAATAAATGATCTGGAGATAGATGGAAAGAAAGAGAAAGAAGATGGAGAGTAACCAGAAAGCAAAAAAGTGACAAATAATGCTCTTTAATTTATATAGCTTTTAAATCAGTATCAGAGTAATGACTAAAATGTACATTTAAATGAACAGAGAGATTGTTTGTCTCCCTTTGAGATTTGTAGCTTTGGCAACAGAGTGTTAATATTTACAAGCCAGAAAGGCTTTTGGCAAAATGAGAAGGAAAAGCAAAAGGGTGTGTGAAAAAGCATGAAGACAATGGGTGAAAGATTTTGAAATGGATTAATTGGTACAGTACATGAAGGATTCTGGCAGAAACAAAAGTCCCATCGTTCAGTAGGGTCCTGCAGGATGCATTCTCCTTCTCACAAAGTAAGCAGCTGCAATGCTGCAGACTTGTAAATAAGTGTTAGCTCATGGGAATGGGTGAGTTTTGTCATGTTCTCTCTGCTGTCAATAGACAGAACATGACAAAATTCACATGACATGACAAAACTGTATCAGTATTAGGTCCCATTTTTCTCTGCTGTCAATAGACAAAAATGGGACCTAATACTGATACAAAACCGTAAGAATGGAACAAAAAGCTCACTTTTACTTAGTTTGGGTGACGTGTGCTGTAATGTCAATGCAGGTTTATAATTTTGGGTTAGGGCCTTTTTTGTTTAGAGGTGTAAGTCTATGTCACAGAATATTGTTTTCACCACAGTAAACTAATTTGCTGACAGGGATGATTTCATTGAAATGAAAAGATTTTTCTATCAAATGTTACAGTTTTAAATCCTGGCATGTCCTGCTGGCAAAGTCTGTGTAGTTTATTAACTCATGGATTGGTTTTGAGGCAGCAATAGTTTTTGTATGAAAAAAAGCATTTTTCTGCAATTTACTAATAAAATACTGACTGTGACAAGTCATTTTGGAGATTTAGTAGAATGGACCTCAAATGAAGAAAAAATTGATGCATTTCAACATGTCGTGTTTAAATGCAAATTTACTCTGCATCTCTGAATAAACTGTAACTGCAGTATTTTATTTGAATGCTTATTCATTCAATTTAAGCAAAAATGAAGTGTTTCTTCCAGTTGTGAGGTTATGGTGTATGTATAGTAAACCTGATTTTTTGGAGTAATATGTCACACTGCCTCCGGCCACACAAATATGAAGAAATGTGTCATCACAATGCAGCTGGACTGGCTGGTGTAGGAATGTGTTTGAGTATTCTTTGTGTTTGTTGCTGTTTACTGGTTTTATTTCCACTCTGTGTCACCTACCTGCTCCGTTGCTGTTTTCTGGATTGGTATTGGACAGGTATTCTCCAAATGCTCTGGCTGCTCTGTAAAGACACAACAAGTGCAGCAGTTAACCCTGATCCTTAACGCTCAACCACTACAAGAAGTCCGTAGACTGCAGGGCTTTTTCCTACTGTGCCACCTCCCTCTGCTGACTTCAGACAGCCTGACTCAGTTCAGGTGTTTAAATCCAACTTAAAACTCATTGGTACGTCCTTACTTTCAGCTTGTGGCATAGGTCTTATTACTTCTGGTCTTGGCCTTGTTACCAGTCACTAGTGGGTCATCTCAGTCCAAATGAATCTATTCAGAATCAGAAGGCTTTATTGTCTGTTTATTGCTGGTGCGTGTTTTGGTAGCTCTGTAACATCTACCAGAGGGTAGCAATTCAAATTGGTGGTGCCTGGGGTGACTAGGGTCCTTAAAAATGGTTTTAACCCTGCTGAGATAGCGTGACATGGCGAGGTCTTCCAGTGAGGGCAGTGGGCAGCCAGTAATCTTTTCTGCAGTTCTTGTAAGTCTCTGCAGTGCTTTTTTGTCTGCAGCAGAGCAGCCCGCATACCACACAGTAATGCGGTATGTGAGGACACTATCAAGGGTCACCCGGTAGAATGTCACCAGCAGCTTCCTACGCTGTTCCTCCTGAGCACTCTGAGGATACCAAACCAAAGCATATATAGCATAGTTCTGGTTGTCCTACTCATGATATTACAGCAAACCAAATGGTGGCTGCTTTGCAGGACGCTCTAGATAACACAGACTGGGTCTTGTTCAGGCGCAGCTCTAATCACATCAGTGTGTTAACGTGTGGGATTTATGATGGAGATAGATCTCAGAAAGCTATAAACAGAACATTTCCCAACCAGAAATTGTGGGTAGGTAAAACCATCCACCAGGCTTTAAAATCTTGCATCTCTGCCTATAACACAGGGCTTGCCTCTGGGAACATGGACAAGTACAAAGCATGTCCTGTGTGAGTGGTAAAGGAAGCTGAGCACTTTTAGCGCTCATGTCGAGGCTGCAGCTGGCATTTCTCACAGCACTATTAGTACTAATGGTAGCATGCAGAGATAGTTCAAGTGAAAAACGCTTTCATCATATCGGATCAGGACCAGGTGGCATCTTATAGCCTGCGGTGACCAGCTAGCACTCGTATTCATGGAGATAGTTGACCTCTCGCTGGCACAGTCAGTAATCCAACATGCTTTAACCTGTCCGTTATCGTTTCTGTCCCAAAGAAACCCCAACCTGTCTGCCTCAGTGACTATTACCCAGTACCCCTGACCTTAATTATGATGAGGTGCTTTGAAAGCTTGCTCAGACTTCAGCAACCTCTTCCTTAACTGACTACAATTTGTATACTAGTATACTATACTATTTGTAAACCATCAAACTCAGCAAAAGCATGTTAACACGCCCAGTGGAGCTTCAGTGCCATTGGCTGTTAATACAGGTGTCAACAGCCTTTTGGCATATGGTCCTACATACAGTATGTTTACATAACAGCTAGAAGGGTCTGACAAACCTATACATTGTGGTCACATGAACTTGTGTAGACACACTTTCATGGTCACACTGAGGTATGTGACTTCATGTACAGTTTGGGACCATCTACTCCGTGTGGGGGAGTTAAACAAGGATAACTTTTGTGGTGTGTACAGTGGTTGTAGGAACATGGAAGCACGGTATTCTTAGCATCAAAAATGGTTTGCATGGCAGAGTTCCAAGACGAAAACCACTGCTGAGCAAAAAGAACATAAAGGCTCGTCTCAGTTTTGCCAGAAAACATCTTGATGATCCCCAAGACTTTTGGGATAATACTCTGTGGACAGACGAGACAAAAGTTGAACTTTTTGGAAGGTGTGTGTCCCATTATGTGTGGCGTATATGTAACACCGCATTTCAGAAAAAGAACATCATACCAACAGTAAAATATGGTGGTGGTAGTGTGATGGTCTGGGGCTGTTTTGCTGCTTCAGGCCCTGGAAGACTTGCTGTGATAAATGGAACCATGAATTCTGCTGTGTACCAAAATATCCTGAAGGAGAATGTCCGGCCATCCGTTTGTGACCTCAAGCTGAAGCGAACTTGGGTTCTGCAGCAGGACAATGATCCAAAGCACACCAGCAAGTCCACTTCTGAATGGCTAAAGAAAACCAAAATGAAGACTTTGGAGTGGCCTAGTCAAAGTCCTGACCTGAATCCAATTGAGATGCTGTGGCATGACCTTAAAAAGGCGGTTCATGCCCGAAAACCCTCCAATGTGGCTGACTTACAACAATTCTGCCAAGATGAGTGGGCCAAAATTCCTCCACAGCGCTGTAAAAGACTCATGGCAAGTTATCGAAAATGCTTGATTGCAGTTGTTGCTGCTAAGGGTGGCCCAACCAGTTATTAGGTTTAGGGGGCAAACACTTGTTCACACAGGGCTATATAGTTTTGGATTTTGTTTTCCCTTAATAATAAAAACCTTCATTTAAAAACTGCATGATGTGTTTACTTGTGTTATCTTTGACTAATATATAAATTTGTTTGACGATCTGAAACATTACAGTGTGACAAATATGCAAAAAGATAAGAAATCAGTAAGGGGGCAAACACTTTTTCACACCACTGTATACTAATGTCAAAGTGCTGTGCCCTTTGGTAGTGTGCAAGAGTGGTGAGTCTGTTGTTTTGAACCCTGTGAGTGAATATTTTGGCATATACTGTCTTGTGGTCTTGGAATTATAAAGATTACTGCATGAAACAAATGTAGCTCACTTAGAGACAAGAGAAATCCATACATATACATATGTATATAAGAAGCATGAACTGAATAAATGATATTGTCTCCCCCTAAACCAATAGGTGAATTGGTAGCTTTCACTTGTTATGTTTTAACACATCGATGTGATGCTTTGTGTGTGAGGAACTACTGTTTGTGGATGACCTCTGCTTAATAAACACCAAAGTTTACTGAATGTAGTCAGGCCAACATGACATGCATAGCAGAACATCCACCTTGAACTCCCTGTCCTGCAGCCTATTTACAACAAACAGCGCTGGACCAAGGACAGGAACTTAGTGAAGAGCTTCAGCCTTCCAAACAATGGACTCTTTTCTCTGTTGCAGTGAAAGAAGCACAGAGGAAAACCCCTTGAGCTGGACCTTGAACATCTTTGCACAACACTCACACCCCTCATACAGTATGTTCCTGTCAATACACCTATATTACCTTATATGTATTCATTATATTTATTATACTATCACATTTCACTGCACTTACCTCAGCTTGGTGTTGCACAATAATCCCCATACAACTGAAATATTATTATGAAATATAGTCAGAAATATAGTATACTTCCCTTATATTTTTCCTGTTTTCTATTTTTATATGTAAACTCTATGTTCTGTTACCGACAGTTCTACTAAGTATTTCACTGCATGTTGTACAATGTGTGGTTGTGTGTGACAATTGAATTTGAAACCTTGTAAATACTACTGTATCTCTGGGTTCGGTTGCTCCCTCGAGCACATTCTTGTACCTCTCTCTCTGTTATCGTTGTTCCCTCTTTTCACTCAGGGTCTCTGTGTTGGACCACTGGTCGTTCTGGGACCTCGCTCGCCTTCGGCTGTCAGTGCCTCATTAAGATGTCTGGAACTGATACTTGTCCTCCAGGAGTCCCAGCCTCTTCTGTGTCTCTCCCTCAGTCCCTGTGTTCATGTTGTCCTTTTCTCTCCCTCTGATGTGAATTTGTTCCTTTCTCCTATGTGTATGAATAATGTGCTTGGGCTTTGCCTCTTTGGGGGATATTTACTAAGGCTTTGCTCATTATTTGGTGCTAAACAGTGAAACTGCATGTGTTCATATTTACTAAGGAGCCTCAATGAGTTTTGTAATGGAGAAACAGAAGAAAAGCGGCAGCACAGGGCCTTGACTTGCAGAAGACTACTGTCCCCTAAATATGTGTGGTGATTTCTGCAACCATATTACAGTTCAGTCACTGTAAACGGAAGGGGGTATTTACTACACCTGTCACAAATTACAGTCAGGTTCATAAAATATTGCAGTAAATCAATTTTTCAGTTTAGCGGTGTATTTGCAGACACTGACAAGTTTAGTAAATATTCCCCATTGTGTGTTTGTGTCCTTTTTCCTGGTCTTTGTGTGGAAAAGACCTAATGTGAAGAAGTGGCTCACAAACAGTAAAAGCTCACTAGATAAACCATATGTCAGAGCTGTATATCTGTAAAGCCTCTTCATGGGTCGCTGTCAACACGCTAGCATTCATGTACTATAGATTCCAGCACCACAGCAGTCTGCAGGAGGTGATGTTGTTACTGCCGTGAATCCATATTCAGTAACAGTGTCTCTTATCAGAGCGGCAGCATGCTCTTACATAGAGACTGAAAGAATAAGAAACTGCTTTGATAGAGAGAAAGAACACATGATATGACAGAGAGAAAAGAGATAGAATACTTAGGAGAGAACAGAATACTTTATTAATGCCAGAAGGGAAACTGATAGAAGTAGAGCTTCAGTTTGCCTCTCCTGTAAAAGGAGAATGTGCGGGAACATAAAGTACACATATTAGCAGGAGCAGCAAGGAAATGGCATGGTGTGCTGAACATGCATCTGGCAGACTCTTTCTAGTACATGCATAATGCCCTCCCTTACTGTATGTGTAATTCTCCTCAGACAGTTCAGTACTGCTGCTGTCAACACTTGGCATCTACAGGTTTCTGAAACAAAAATTTGAATTTTTTAAATAGAGTTTTATCCAAATCACCATAGGCACCCATGAGTGCAGTCGTATTCAGCATTGGTGGGAACAAAATGCTCTGCACTGCTACAGGACCGTAACTACAGCCATACTAAGCTAAAACCGGAGGGATGCATAAAAAAAGCCACAGTGCCACAATGTACCTCCTCTGAAAGGGGGAAAAGCCATGAATAACAGTGATTAGTTCAGAAACCATGGCTCAAGCTCTGTGCTTCTGGAGCCATACAGCCTTCAGGCCTCACTCCATTTAAAACTTCTAAGCACATAATGGGGCCAAT